TTTCTTTCATAAGGATGTGATCTGTCATATGCTAAAACCAAATGTAATCATAGTTATGAGTGCCATTGGCTCCTCGTTTAAGCCGTGATTTCCATGGTGTGTCAGATAATTAAAGGATCTCTGAACCTCTGCTCACCACAAAGATAACATGTCACCACTCACAGCCCTGCCAGGGACACAAGGCAGAGAATGCCCTTGCTGAGGAAGCCCCAGATTAAAACAAAATATCACCACTGTGTAGATGAGAAGAAACAAACTAAAAGGCAGAAGGCAGAGTGAACTGCAAATCCTACTTCTGAGTCCTTGTTGCATTGATACTCTCTAGCCTGTGGAAGGAAGAAAATGCAAGGAAGTCTTGTGTGAAGTTCTAAATTTACTAACTTTTAGGGAAAGCTTTTTTTATAGAAAAAAAGAAAAGGGCAGGTCTCAAAGCAGGGAGTTCAAAGTTAGAAGTTATGAGTCCTTATCCCTGCCTATTTTTTTGGTATGGTAAAATTTCAGCAAGAGATATTGTGCTTGATTTTGGGTCATGGGCACAAGAGTGGATTCAGGAGTTAAGCTCACCTCCTTTGTAGCAGAAGAAGGATCCATTCCCGTTAGGAACTTCCTGGGTGCCATTGTAGGACACAATGAAGAGGGGGACTCACCTTGAACCTGTGTTTTCATTTAAAAGTCTGCTGTTTGCAACTAGATTGTACACATTAGTTTTTAAAAATGCCTCCGTTTGAGGATCATAAGATCCTTCTTTGCATTTTACAGATTATTTTCATGGGCGGGATGGGGACTGCAGAGTGCTTTTGGAGAACCACTGAAGGGCTAAATCTCTCCAGCTTCCCGCCAGCACGCTTGCTGACAGTGTCCCATAATGGCTTGCAAATCTCTTAAAGTTCCATCTCTGCACAGCACTTTGGGAGGTTGAGGTGTGAGGATTGCCTGAGCCCATGGATTCGAGACCAGCCTGGGTAACTTGGCGAGACCTCATCTCTACATCAAAAAATCAGCCGGGTGTGGTAGCAGCTACTTGGAAGACTGAGGCGGAGGGACGGCCTGAGTCCAGTGGGCCGACACTGGGGTGGCAGTGAGCATGCTACTATACTCTGGCCTGGGCTATGGAGTGAGACACACACACACACACACACACACACACACACACACACAATGTTCCATCTCTGAACTACATTCCACTTTGTCCCTGCTCTATTTATAATATAATACTACGTCCACCCTTTAGGGAGTCACTGGAACACACACACACACACACACACACACAATGTTCCATCTCTGAACTACATTCCACTTTGTCCCTGCTCTATTTATAATATAATACTACGTCCACCCTTTAGGGAGTCACTGGAACACACACACACACACACACACACACACACACACAATGTTCCATCTCTGAACTACATTCCACTTTGTCCCTGCTCTATTTATAATATAATACTACGTCCACCCTTTAGGGAGTCACTGGAAGAACCGAAAACTGAAATTCTGTATCAGATCAATTCACTGAAGCTGGTATTTACAGTAAATGGAGCACATGTTTCATTAACAGATTTTTCTTCAGTAGTATTCTTGAAAATCTCCCTTGGGGAAAATGACTGACCTGATGGGGGTGGGTTGAGGGAGCTTGAGAAGTGTTGGAAATTAATAAGGAGCGCATCGGATACTACTTTGAAAAACTTGTTTGCCAGAAGCCACTTTATTTGGATAATAATATGACAGCACTCGACACGGCACGTGAGACAGGCTCTCGGCCTGCTTCTCAATGTTGTGCCAAGCAAGACAGTCAATTCACATGGAGCAGACTACATTTTGTTTGACATTCTGCCGAGGGAAAGCACACTTCACGGAGCTGGAGGGCAGCATTCACAGTGTGCAGCCGAGACCCTAGAAAGGACGTGGGCGGGGCTTCCACAGCTGCTACTATACCCCACCTTTATGCGATCCATCACACTACAGCCACTTTTTTCTTTCGGCGCGGATATTTCTGTTTCCCAATGACTTTATGAAAGGAAAAGAGGACATTTATATATGTATGCATATGCATGGAGTATATATATGCCTTTATAGATAAAATTATTACGGTTGCATAAGCATCTAATTTTATAAAAATATCTCTTACCACAAGCCTCTTTTCAAGCACACGTATGACACAGAACATATTCAGAAACTAAGTTGCCCATGAATCTAGTGCTCAGAAGAAAGTCGTTTAACAAATCGGATCATTGAAGTTTGAATTGGACCATAGAAGTTGAAAGTATTTACAATGGATGATCTTTTACAATGTTACTTGCAGATCCCTGGACTCCTTGAGAATGTAAAAATTTCTTCGTGGCTGGTGTTTCACTATGGGTTACTCATTACATTTTCTTGCTTTTAACTCTTTACTTTTGCAAGTTTATATCATTTTATTAATAACAAAGGAATGTTATACTTTCAGAAATTGAAATTAAAGAACTATATGACACTATGTCTACTGGGCACTTTCCATATAATTTAACATATGATCATATTGTGTGTGATTGTGTATGTATGCAGACACAAGATATTCTTTATCATCTATCTATCTATCTATCTATCTATCTATCTATCTATCTATCTATCTATAATCTTCTATCTCTATCTATCTTGTAATCTCAGTGGTATGCTGAAACCAACTCATACGGGTTCATAAGAGCTGACAGATACATTTCCAGAAATTTTGCAAGCAGAGTAAGGTCATCTTGGTAGTTTGAAAATGGCTATGGAAAGACTATTTAGACCATGAAAACTTACAAATGATGCAAGTCATGGATTTTTTTCTTCCTGGGAAACAAGTTGTTAAATAATTTACCAGTATACCACTGTAAATTTGATCAGGAAGGGAATTGCATACAACAGTCAGTTTATAACAGAAGCAATAATTAATTTTTTAGAATATTAAAGTTTAAGAAAAAGAAAGTTCTTGACAATTTAAGTTAGTCAATAAACTCACAAATAGTCTTAAATATCACCCGTTTTTCTTATTTAGCATTTTAAAGTAAAATGATAGAATCTAGTTTATTTCTTAATCATAGAATGTGTTTTAGAACATTTGTACAAAGCTAATTTGAAACATCTATTGACTTATTTTTTTTAATCAAAATCTCTGCATGTATTTTTTATATAGTTGCAGAACTGTAAGCAAAATCTAAATATTAATAAAAATGAGACTAAATAAAAAATGAATTAATCCAACTTGTGTTTATTTTTTTGTATATGTCATTTGGTGTTATTGACATATATTCAATTTGTGTGTGTATGTGTGTGCACACACACATAAACCTCAACAAATTATAACATTAAAGAAATGAGATCCCTAGTTCATGAAATATTCTACTTAATGGCCAGAAATGACTTATGTTAAAAACTATGACAGCTTAAGGCCAAACAACTCTTCCTTTCTTTTCCAAAAACTTCAAAATGCCCTCATTTCTATCTTTCCCCTTTGAGTAACCATGTATGTAGTTTAAACGTGCATACTCATAGTTCAGTGAATGCTTTGTCTAGCAGCCTCAAATGCCAAGTACAAATTTAAATTCATCTGTTAGATTTACTTCTCAGAACATGGGAGACCAGGACAGGATTGCTGAACAGGCTGAACACTGGAGTTGTGCAACATAGTAACTCCGAATAAAAGAGACCCTGAGTTTTGTTGGGCAAAGAAAGAACAGGTGGATAGGACAATTTCTGAATCTGGAGATAGACAGAGAGAATGAAGGAAATTCCCAAAGTGGGTATTTCTGAATAGGAGAGGACAGCAGGAGGACACTAGATCTCTAGAAAGATGTATTCTTTTTTTCTAGCTACTGATGACCTTGGCATTTCCCATGCAGATGTGGAGAGTCAAAAGGTAGGCTGACTCTGAGTCTTCATATTATTCCTTGGAAATTAGTTCTAAAAAATTGTATCCATGACATTTAATCTCTCTGTTGATTTGCTGCTTTCGCCTAGAACTTTTTGGATAATTACAAGTTCGGGTCTTATAATGGTAAATCAGGTGGAGAAGTGGAGTTGTTGCAGAAGTATCAGCAGTAGTTTACACATGCAGTGACTATACATTTATTGCTAGTTTCCTAAGACATGGAGCACCCTAGGAGCTTATGCTACAGTAGAGTCCAATAAACCATAAAGATTACTTCAAGAACAAAGAAGCACATACAGAGGTGTGATATCTTTCTGCTGGTTTGAGCTTTCAAACCTGAAATTCTTTAAAATACATTTCTGGGGTTCTATTTAAATATTAAGATGCCATTTTTAAAAAGTAGTGACTTCGTGGCAAAATATAATACTGAAATGGAATACTGCTTTTTCATAAAAATAAGACGTGATTTGAAATTAAATACCTTTAAAAAATTAAAAATAAACAGACTTTCACAGCTTGGGGATTTGAATGAACCCTGTACCAAGGAGTGGAGACAAGTCCTACTTTGGGTCACATCCTGGAACCCCTAGCATTCAAAAGCTGCTCAGCAAAGATGACTTGAGCATTTCAGTGGCATCTATCTATGCTGCTATGTTGCATTCAGAAACCATTTTTGTATATCCCCACAAATACTTTTCATAACAAATTGCTGTTATGCTACATAAAACTGTTTTAAGTGTTTTCTTCAGTATAAAAGAGTTTTGCATTTAGAGTTCAATATCAAAATTAAGCATGTTTTGTATAAGCTTACATTAATCCATTCATTGCACTTGTTTTTAAATGAATCTATTCTGATTTTCTATCCTAGATAGAATTTCAGCTCAGTTAAAGTATTTTCCAATCACCTTGGGGGGGGAGCTTTCCAAATATAGAACTCAACACAAAAATGCTAAGTATATTTTTTATGATTTAATTCTGTTTTCAGCCCATATTGTATATGGACTGTACCAGGGGAAACTTTTCTCATTTGAATTGGAGGAGGTGATCTTTTTCAGGTAATTCCTCTCTTGGCATTACAAATGCTGAACATGGATATCTACCAGGAATCAGAGGGAAAAGCTTAATTTATACTACTTTGAAAGTAAATGTTTCAATAGTCATAAAAATCTTCTTATGTATTTTTTAAATACTTTAAGTGGTGGTTTAATATACAAACAAATTTGTACAAGTTATTCTTTGTCTTTAAGACACTTTGTAACTTAGCTTAATACTCAACAAAACTGAGTATTTAAAATATTTGTCATCATTTTATAAAATAGATCTTTGTGTTATTGTTTATGGATAATGCATGATTTGTCATTTTCCTACTGATTAATCCCTGATGGATTACATAGAGTTATGTGACCATATCTTTAATTATATTTATAAATTTCTTGTCACATATTTGAGGCAAACCTGAGGATAGATCATTGAACAATTGTTATTTTTCTCTGATAAAATATTTCATTTCTCCATTTTCTTTTTCAGTGGTCTTTTGAAGAATCCAATCTGTTGAGAAAACACAAAACATAACACAATTATTTTAATTTAAGTAATAAATATGAATCTTTTTGATAAAATTAAATTTAATAATTGGAAATTCTGGGCATACAACTAATTAAAAGGTATTTTTATTGATCCATTCATATTAAATATCAAGAAAATGAAAAGTCAAATTGCTATTTCATTTTTAACTGTTCAATGGTTAAATATATCATGTCCCATAGTAAAAGGTAGTACACGCATTGAGTTAATTTAAAGGGCTGCAGAAAAATATTTTGGGAGACATACAAACTGCAATTAGCCAGCATTGTTTCTACTTTGCTATCATCTTTTTTTTTTTTAGATATGTGGCAGAAATATTTTCATTCTATGGTCATAAATTGATTTCATTAGAGTTGGTAAGGAATCTGACAGGTACATCAGGTCTAGGGTGCTAGGAAGATTTCTGAGTTGTCTGGATTAACTTTAAATGTGTCAGAACATCTGTTTATGTAGGCTTGATATAAAAAGCCTCTTGAAAACACCCTGTATCATTTGGATATGAACATGGACTATAAGACAAATGTGACCCACAGTGAATATGAGTCATATTTCATTTTGCTTTGCAATTTAGGGCACCACTAAAAGTTATAAGTACTGTATTTATTTACTATTCTTCATAATAACAGAAATAAGTATGGAGGTGGAAGAGATCTTTGCAATGATCTAACCTAAAATGTTTATTTAAAACAAAGAAAATTAAGCCGGGCTTGGTGGCTCAGCCTGTAATCCCATGCTTTGGGAGGCTGAGGTGAGTGGATTGCCTGAGCCTGCGGGTTCGAGACCTGCCTGAGCAACTTGGTGAGACCTCATCTCTACAATAAAATTTAAAAAATTAGCCGGGTGTGGTAGTGCGCGCCTGTAGTTCCAGCTACTTGTAAGGCTGAGGCAGAAGGATTGCCGGAGCCCAGCAGGTCGAGGCTGCAGTGGCCGGGAGCTGCCACTGCACTCTAGTCTGGGTGACAGAATGAGACTCCAATTCAAAAAAAAAAAAAAAAAAGACAAAGAAAATTAAGAGTCACAGAGAAGTGGTTTTTCAAATTTGTACACACACACACACACACACACACACACACACATACACATATGAGGGGGAATCCAGAAAAACCCAGAATTTACTTATAAAAAAATTCCATATTTATGTACATGTTAAACTTCAGTCACCTTCAAAGTACTCTCCGTTTGATGTGATACACCTATTGGGACACTTTTTCCACTGCTCAAAACAGTGATGCCTTTTAGTGCTTCTGCTATTTTGTTTTACCTCTTCCACATCAGCAAAACGTTTCTCTTTGAGAACTTTTTTCATCCAGGGAAACAAAAAAATGTCACTCAGGGTGAGATTGGGTGAAGAGGGAGGGTGGGGCATAGGGGTCAAGCTATTTTTGGTCAAAAAAATGCTGAATACTCAGTGCAGTGTGGACGGGTGGGCTAGTAAACCACCCATCAAGAAATGGGCAAATATGATAAAGAATCTCCAAAAAAAGAAAGAAAGAAAAAACAAAACAAAATAAAAAAATAGGGAAGGAAGGGTGGGATTGGCAGTAGTGGGAAACCGCCAGGGGAGGGAGGGACATACCTCATCAACAAGGGTACCTGCATAATGCACATTTGTATACTTAACCCTAAATTTTACCCCACATCTTGAAAAGAAAAAAAAAAAATTCACTGAAGCCAAACACAGCCTCTCACGACGATGCTAGCTGGTACCCTGATGCTGGAAGCCTGTACTACAAGGGGCCCACCCTCCAAAAATAATTCTGTTTTTGGGGGGGGTTCCTCTTATGTATATATGTATACATATATTTTAAATTTGAGAGTGGGCTATAATAGATCAAGTAAAGGCAATGCAGGGCATTCATTCTTTGGAAGTGTGGTATCTCCATATCATTTTAATCATGAAGTTATAAATTATATAAATATTATATAAAAATTATTATTAAAGCATTGAAGGTTTAGGGGTGATAAACACTCAAAAACATCTACTTTTAGGTTACAAAAGTTTTACTCAGGGCTGATGTCTTCCACCAGGCCAGAATCCAGTTAGTGGTGGATGAGCAAAAGGTAATAACAGAACAAATGAAAGTGAAAACAATAACGCATTTGCCTTCCCAAAATGCCAGCTCTTCTACATCTCAGGCCTTTTTTCTGTGAACCAACTGTCAAAGTCCCAGATTCACAAACCATTAGGCTTCTTAACTTGTGCCTGCCTGTCCCAAGTCGAAAATAAATCACACAATGCTTTCACAAAAGCAGGGGATGATTATAAAACTTTTTTCCTGCTCTGCTTTGCTTCTGATCTTCTCTTTCCTTTCTCAAATCTTTTTGCTTCCTTTCAATCTTTCTTTGCTTCTACATCCTATTTTAAAATAACATCTGTTATCTATACTTTTCTCCCCAACCAATTCTGTTCATGTTGGGTTTTTAATGGAAGCTGGGTGATTAAGAGTAGAGAGATTAGGAGAATAGAGTTTATAACTTCAAACTGGACTTGGCCAATCCTAGCAAAATGTGAAAGAAGTCCACAGACATTTCTGGTAGTGTTGGTTTTCCTTTTATTTCTTCCTGTAGTTGTTTAATGACCTTCTTTATACTCCCCTAGCCCAAAACCCAATGACAAAGGGTCTGATTAAACAGTATCTGGTAAAACAAACAAAAAAGGAGGTGCTTAATAAATATAATATAGAATCAATGTTGAGTGAATAAATTCATACCAATGTATAAAAGACTAAAAATGGTGAGTTGTTATTACCCATGTCCCAGCAAGGATATGTATATTAGATGAGGAACAGAGTTTTAGGATTAACACACAGGTCATCAATGGAGGAACTTCTGGCATCAGTATGACATCATGTTAGGGGAGAGGAATGTTCTGAGCCTCTCATAGATCCTCTGTGGGATGAGTGTCATTCGACTCTATTGGTTAATCTGGCCTGACTGGGCATCTCTCTTAGTGTACCATATTTCAGGACAAATTTCTCAACCCATTTAAATCCGTGTCCCCTGTAAGGCTCAGGACAAAATTTTCAACCTATTTAAACCTGTGCCCCTATAAGGCACATGTTAAGCAGCTACTAAGATTTTGTCAAGAAGCTTTACTTTCTGCCATGTGTACTATGAAAATCAAGACTTAAAAACTGTCTTTTGGAACTGAATCACTGCTCCAAGTGAAATACTTGGCCTGTCCCTTACACAGTGTCTCAGTCTAGGGAGTTCCACTGAATTAACAGAGTAGTGGGATTTGAAAAAAGAAAGAAGGGATAGTTTTGGGGTGTCTGCTCCAGATCCAGTTAGTATAGAAAAATATCTGGGGATGAGAGTAGCTCTTCTGAGCCTACTGCAGACCAAACACATGCTTCAGGGAGGTTCCATTATAACTTTAAAGTAGAGGGGGGAGGAATGAACCTTTTTGGTAAAACAGAACCACTGAAAGTCTGAATCTAACCAGAGACCTTCATTCCAAATCCAAATATTATGTCTCAGAGAGTTCATGACCCTCTTGAACAAAATCCAATTCCCGGTGCTCCAAAGTAAAGAGCCCTGCCTCATAGCCTGCCACAGTGGGCTGTATCAGAATAGGAGCAAGTTTTGTAGAGAGATCTTTGTTTGAATTCAGTCATTTACCAGTTGGTAATCTTGGGAGAGTCACTTTAACCACTCCTTGCTTTAATGCCCTCTGATGTCAAATGTAGTTAAAATACTTGGTTGAAATGGCTGCTGTGAAGACACCAGAGTGAATGAAAGCTAGAGATAACACATAGGAATAATAATTAACAGATGACAGCTGGCACAAGATTCAGATCCTTAGTCTGAACCTTACTATGTGGCTTTGGGAAACATACTTAAATTTTATGTTCCTCCGTTTCCTTATTTACAAAATGAGGCTCATAATAGTGTCTACCTCCTGGGGTTGATGTGAGTATTAGGTGGAAATGCTTACAGCAGCTCCTGGCACATGGTAAGCATTCAGTAGGAGCTAGTTCCTTCCCTTTCTCCTTGGAATCACAGTTCTGATTACCAGGCCTCCCACTGAAGTGGTTGAACTATTTCTACTGGACAAGCAGTCCAAAGTTTGACAAATAACCTTCTTTTGGGCCTAAAAAAACCCTAAGAAGTCATCAGAATGTATCAACGCAACATTTACTGGATGAAAGAATATGTTTATTTGTACATGTATGCTTTTTTTTCTGGACTAGTGACAAAAAAACAGGTGCATGCAATTTCCTATGTTTGTCTTAAAAGAAGTATGAAACCAGATAAAACCTGTTCAAATATCACTCTGGTTTTCCTCTTCTCTTATCAGTGATGTCCTAAGATGATATGGGCAAGTGCAGTGTTCAAAAGAGAAGACTACTGAAAGAAATCAACAGTAACACACTCTAGAGTTGCATACCAAGGAAGAAACCAATTCTTGTATTTCAGACACAACCTTGAACACCAATAAGCTAAGCCTTGAGTACCACAGTGTGGCAGAGCCAGGTATTACAGAGAAAACACTGCAAAGCAGAGGGAAGAGCTGGATGTTGAATATTGTCAGGATTTCTGTCTTAGAGACTTTGTTGGAGAAAAGCCATGGATTCTATTTACTGAAGTGAATACCACTGACCTACGTCTTTAAATCTTTAACATGACTTTGTTCACCTTCTCTTCTGAGAGTAAGTCCCTCAAAATAATTACAGGAGAGTCAGAAAGGAAGGTACAGTGGGTAATTCAGTGGCAGAGAAACTTGCTTTTTTGAACTGATTAGATAATGATCTTGCTTATATATTAGAAAAATAAATATAGAGATACAATGTGCACATTTTTAAAACATAGTTTAACTAACAAAGTAATAGTTAAAACATTGGATGATATTATGGCTAGAATAAATGCCAATTTGATAGTTAATAAAAAAACATTAAATCCAACTTTTTAATCATAATTTATTCTCTTTTAAATTTCTTTTAAAAGCTATCATGTTATGCCCAATTTTAATAGTATATAGCTGCTAAGAGTTTAAAAAATCTTGTATATCTCAGGCTCAGCAAAACATTTCTGTAAATATCCAGACTGACTAGACCCAAAATAGATGGTTACTCAATCTTGCAAAAGGATTTATTGAAATAGGAGTCTGTGACGCATTAAGATATCTTACATCTACCGATGAGTAAATCCTTTATCCCCTACTCAGGCATGCAATTTATTGCATAAAATGTGGCATGTCTGTTTGTATATTACAGAAATATTTGATCATTAATATACACAGAGATGTATGATTAAAACAAGGGTTATCTTAGCCATGAATTTACTGCTTATCCTTAAATTGATATAAGAATTCATTCTTTTCTTTTTTTATAGAAGAGCATTTTCATTATTCTCTGTTTGTAAAATGTTTTTTTCTTTACAAAAATGGGATCGAGTTGTACACCTTGTTTGAAATATGCATTTTTCTTTCTTTATTTTAGTCATCATTTCAATGTTTGTTTCATTGCTGTATAATATTATATGACACAGCATGGATAAATTATAATTTATTTCTCCAGTTGCTGATGAAGATTGGAAAAGAAAGTCCAAGGAATGTTGGGGCTTACCTTCCACAGTGCTAAAATGAGCAGCATCAATAGTAATAATCCAGCAAACGCACTCAACAAGATGACCCATAATGGCACACTGCCTGGTGGCCCATCCTTGGATATTTGAATAGCAAGCTGCAAATTATTAAACAAAATTGTTAACACTGATAAATACCTATAGAACTCCTGGAACATCGAGTTCTTGCAGGCTATAATTTTCTATCAAACAGCATATTTTTTTTTTTTTTGAGTTGGAGTCTCACTCTGTCGCCCAGACTGGAGTGCAGTGGCCGCTCCCGGCCACCACAACCTCGCCTGCTGGGCTCCTGCGATCCTTCCGCCTCAGCCTTCCAAGTAGCTGGAATTACAGGCATGCGCTACCACGCCCTGCTGATTTTTTGATTTACTGTAGAGATGAGGTCTCGCTGCCCAGGCGGGTCTCGAACCCGCGGGCTCAGGCAATCCACTCACCTCAGCCTCCCAAAGGCGTGGGATTACAGGCTGAGCCACCGAGCCCGGCTCAAACAGCATATTAATCTCATTACTGCATACAGAGGAAACACTGGGTTTACATTTGAAAATGTTCTTTATTCTAAATCTCTAATCAGGTCAAATTTGTAATTACCAAAAAGTATTCATAATTGCATCCTTCAGGAGTTTATTCATAAAGAGTAAAATGTCATTAGAATGCTCAAGGGAAGGAGTGAATTTCTGTCTAACTCAAGGAAAATCAAAGTTTTAAGTGTTAAAGAATAATTAACAGACTATTGCATTATCACAATAGCATCAATTTAGGTTGGAATATTGCATGCTGTTGAAATAAAAACCTGAGTAAGTCTCCTTATTTTTAATTCTAATGTGCTTTATGGTTTATTTACAAACTGAAAGTATAATTTTCATATAATAAAATGCACAAATCTCAAGTGTACAGATAAATGAATTTTGCATATTTATTAATCCCCAATGCGCATTTTATTATACCACGTTCTCTTCTAGTTGACTTGTCTGTTGATGCACATCTATAAACTATGTCTTAACTAGAGTAAAACTTTGAAATGAACAGCTTTGATTTGGTGCTCCAGCTACTCAAGCTCTCTCAGGATGGCACGTAATCATCAAGGAAATCTATCTGCTCTGTGTCCCATGCCTGGATGTATCTTAAGAAATTAATTAAGGGTAGATATTAATGGTTAGTAATAGCTTGAAGTTCTCTACTTGCCCTTAATAGGGAACACTTCAATTCCTTCATCTAGAGGAAGATTAGGGTAGAAAGAGAAACTAAGAGGGGAGATACCTGCCTGTGGGAATGTAGACAAATCCACAATCAGACCATTGAGACAGAATTTTTTTTTTTTTTAAGAGATGGGATTTCACTTTGTTGCCCAGGCTGCACTTGAACTCGTGGACTAAGGTGACCCACTCATCTCAACCTCCTTAATGTCTGGGACTACTGGCATGAGCCAGCATGCCTGGCTAAGAAAGACTTTCAAGAAGTTTAAAACAATTCCATGAATTTATAGAGGAAACCGACGCCTAGATAAGAGCAGTGACTACCCTCAAATCAAAGAACTACATATAATCGCTTTTAGTAATTTTTATCAATATAGGTCTAATTTTCCTCTAGGATATCTCCAGGAAAATGCATACCTAATATTGAGGGGAAATAAAACTAATAAAATTTTAACACAACATATTTAGGAATCAAATGTACTTTGTCCCAATAAAATTCATACTCATATTTTTCAGGTTTTAGTGAAATGTTGACTTTTCTGCATCTGGAACAACTTTGCACTTCACATTGGTCAGGTTAAGTGATCTTTATGAAGTAAATAAACATTATATGCATCTGTTTGCCTTAAAGGTGTACACTTATCAGAGATCATTGATATTGAAACAATTTGAAATATGCTATTTAAAAAGAACATGTGAGCATTCAGATGTTCAGCTAGTTCCATAGTGTCCACATTGGATTGTATGATTCACAAGGTTATGTTTATCCACATGGGATATTTAAATCCCCCCATGACAAGAGGCGAAACCATCCTGAAATACTTGTGTCTGTAACAAGTACTTGACCTTATTTTACATAAGGACAAGAACAACAACAACAACAAAAACAACCCTCAAACCCTTATATTTTTATCAAGGGCTCAAGCCTGAATTTGTATTAGGGAACAGCATCTCATTTTTGTTTCATATTTCCCTGTGATTAAACGAAGACAACTTTTAAAAATGTACATGTACTCCTATACAGTATCAAAGTACTTTTTGTAAATAAATTGTTTTCTAAGGCTGCTCTTCAGATGTCAGCTACACTTTATAATATCAGATTTTAAGGAGGAAAGTTACAAATACATCATTTGTTATCAAGGTGAAAGTAAAAACATCCATTTACCATGATAGTTATAAGCAATATAGTCAAACGTGGCATGTTAATTGTAAATATCATGAATTTCTCAGTTTCTTAGAAGGAAGAACAAGACTGAAATTTCACTTGAAGCTAACAAAGTATAATTTGAATCAAATAGTACCTGCCACTTATTGAGAGCAGTACCACTCACTGCTTAAGAGACTCTTGGCAATTAGGAAACATTAGGTCACAAAATTCAGAGTGAAATGTATGTTTTCAAAATTTAAGAGTTGCACTTACCTCTCTTTTTTGATTGCTGCTACTTAAAATCAGTGATGTATTTTCACTCTGAAGTTCTCCTCTTATAGTAAGATTTAAGCTGGAAAAATGTGCCTGAAAAACAAACAGGATTTGTTTTTAACATATTATGCTAATCAAAATGAGTGCTTGGCCAGGTGTGGTGACTCAGCCTGTAATCCCAGCACTTGGGGAGGCCAAGGTGAGAGGATTGCCTGAGCCCAGGGATTCAAGACCAGCCTGGGCAACTTGGTGAGTCCCCGTCTCTACAGTAAATCACAAAAACTAGCCAGGCATGGTGGTGTGCTTCTGTAGTTCCAGCTACTTGGAAGGCTGAGGTGGAAGGATCGTCTAAGCCCAGCATGTTAAGGCTGTGGTGGCCATGAGTGTGCTGTTGCACTCCAGTCTGGGTGACAAGAGTGAGACTCCAACTCGAGGAAAAAAAAAATGAGAGCTCGTCATGTCGAGTAACACAATTATTAAAACTAAGAATTTTCTGAGATTAAAAATACTGGTTTTATTTAAACAGAATAGAAAATTCCCCCTAAATTTGGAAGTTGTTGATCCTAAAAGCCCCTAGAAGAGAATAGTGGAGGTGTAAGGACTGAGGTAAGGGAACTTAGTGGTCTTGTTAAAAAGAGGTCAGTCAAGGTGGCTCCTATCTGTAATTCCAGCACTTTGGGAAACTGAGACCGGAGGATTACCTGAGCCCAAGAGTTCAAGACCAGCCTAAGTTACAATAGTGAGATCTCTCTACAAGACATTTATAATAATTAGCTGTGAGTGATGGTATGCACCTGTAGTACTAGCCACTCGGCAGACGGAGGCAGAAGGATTGCTTAAGCCCATGAGTTTAAGACTGTCATGCTGTGATGGTGCCACTGCACTCCGGCTTGAGTGACGGAGTGAGACTCCAACTCCAACAACAACAAAAAAATCTAAGATTTATCAATCTCCCCATACCATGTAACCTAACATTTACCTCCATCCCTTCCACCCCACTCTACTCCCTACCACAAGATACTGGATATTTTTTAATTGTGAGGGCAATTTACTTGGGAGACATCATCACACATCACCAGATTGATAAAAAAAAAACTTAATGTCCAAGGTAAACAAGACTATAATTTTATCAATATTTTTTCTATAAGAAGAAAACAAGTAATAAACAAAAATAAAAAAATAAAAAAACACTGGATTTGTGAACTTCCAAATGGAACTGGTGGTATTAATTGATTACTGTGTACCCACCCTCCCTTCCTTGCCCTCAAATCCTTAGATCCTTGTTATAGAATGGAAAATTTTTTCTACACTCGGTCTTAGCCAAAAGGTCAAGCACATTGGGAAAAAATTACTAAATTATTTCCGTTCAGATTTATCCTGAGAAAAGACAAACCTCAGACTCTACCTATCTTTAATGTAACTAGGCATGAAATAGCATGAAATTGTCAATACTCAACAGTTCATGACTTATAAAAATAGCAACTTAAGATGATTAGGCCTGAAAATGGCAATTTCATATGACCAACTATAAACTCTTCTGAAGAGAGAAATAGGTAATACATTAACAATAAACTAAGTTTTAAAGTAGTTTGCTGTTAGACATAAATGGCCTCATAAATGGTTAAAAATGTCTTCCAAATTATATTTATAAAGAATAAAATTCTGATAAAACACAGTAAGTCCATAATATATGCTAGTTCTCTCCTTTATTAGTAGTGTCAAGAAATGTCATGATATAATTCTTTGCACCTTAAATGAGTTCCAAAGTATTAAGGTAAGTGCAAGCTTTGGAACTGGAGAGGCATTCATGTCTTAAGATGTAAAGAAAAAGGATAAGAGAGACTGAACAAAAGGATATTTATCTGCAAGGGACCTTTCGTTCTTAACAGACAAGGAAGATAGCACCCACATATCTGGTTTAGAGCTGGTACTTAGGTCACATTCCCTTAGAATTGTAGCCTCATGTTCCTTCCAACAATATGTGCTTTGCACATTCTAAGCAGTAAAGACAAAACAAAACAAACAACTATTAATTTGATTGAATAATTGCATAGAACAATGTACTTACTTTTATAAAAGTTGGTTTCCACAAGATAAGTGAAACATTCACTTGGCTCATGTCAGCAGGAATGAGATTACATGTAATGGTAGCAAATTTACAAGTACTGCAGTCCTGTTTAAATGTCCAGAGGTATATATTAGTATTATTACCATTTGACCAAATATACTACCTTCAAATACTTCAGGCAGTTATTTCTAGGTCGATATTAAATTTATTCACTCAAAAAAGCATAAGGTAAAAACAGCACTTAACTTACCAGAATTGTGCCTCGTTTCATCTCTTCAGATTTTGGTATCTTCATTTTCTTTCCAGACTTGTTACCAAAAGGATCTTCAAGAATGTGAGATCTGCAGTTAGCATTCTATGAAATGAAAATATTTCTTTTATCAAACAATGCCAGATGTCAGAGGAAAAAATGACTTGGTGCAGTAACGTGAAGAATCTGTGAATGATAGTCATCACCATATATTAAAGATCCATCTTCATAAGAGTGCAGTATGGAAGAGGCTGTTATATACCGGCCCTATATCACAAATACATATAAACCCACCCTCAGACGATAATTTCTATTACCATGCTATTTAAATTGCAATGAATACCAATGAGGTTGTTATGGGAAAGAATGACTGTTAGTAGAATTTACTCCTACATAAATAATACACTCACTGATTTATTGCTTTCATCAAAGTTAAGCTTGCAAATGTCCAGAATACAGAGAGAGAAAACATTTAAAACTCTACCAAGAAAAAGCAAAAAGAGTAACATTTGTTTTCCAATATTATGGCTCAGGAGATGGCTTATGAAACAGAATAGGGGCCAGGCATGGTGGTGGCTTATGCCTGTAATCCCACCACTTTGAAAGACTTAGCCGGGAGGGTGGCTTGAGGCCAGGAGTTAGAGACCAACCTGGGCAAAACAAGAAGACCCTGTTTCTTAAAAAACACAACCAGACAAACAAAAAACAGAATTGGAAAGAGAGGGCTTAATCTGTATTTATATATTCATTCAATAATAGTTTTGAGATCTTACACTAGGGTAAGACACAGTCTACATGGGAGGAAGATTTAAGTAGACAACCCAACAGATGTTGAGATGCTATAACTGGCCCTGGACTTCCTCTAACAGACCACTTGCTTTCCCAGGACTGGCTACTTCCTTGATAAAAAATCATAAGGATAATGATTCATAAATCATATGAAAAATATACGTTCTCTCTCTCTCTCTCTAGATTCTCACAAGTCTGCTTTTTTGGATTAGAGGAAAATTCCAGAGGCTTATATTTTACTTGTTCTTAGGAAAACAGTTAAATGATTACAAGTCAACTACCATTATTGCTACTTCTTGATTTCTGAGAATAAGAATAATGAGTGAAAAGAAGATAGATTTTCAACTGCTGAAATTATGCAAGCATGAATTCAATATCTGTGATTTTCTATGGCACCAAACCATTATAATTACCTGCCATATAGTCTCATTCAATGCTACAAGCACAAAGGGGGTACAATATTGCTGTTGTTTGGAATAAGTAATTAATATTGTAGTAATTTATGTGAAGCTGTGTTTGCTTTGGAACAATTAGGATGTCTCTATGGAGTTGTTTGGCCACTGCAAACCAATGGAAAGTGAAACAAATATTTCAGGCATAAATCAACAATTAATTATCTAAGATCTATTCTAGTAGATTGAATAATGATCCCTAAAAGATATGACCAAGCCCTAACCCCTAGAACCTGCCAATGGGACCTTATTCAGAAATAGGGTCTTTGCAGGTATAATTACTTTAAGGTTCTCCAGATGAGATTATTCTGGATTTAAGGTGGGCCCTAAATCCAATGTTGACTGTGAAGAAACAGAGCCAGAAAAGCAGAACACACAGAAACACAAAGATGAGGGCCACATGAAGATAGAGGCAGAGATTGGAGTTATGTTGCCAGAAGCCAAGGAACACCAGTTGCCAGCAGTCACCAGAAGCTAAGAAGAGGCAGCTTCCAGAGGAATCAACACCTTCAACACCTTGATTTTGGACCTCTAGCCTTCAGAACTATTGAAAGAATAAATTTCCGTTGTAGTCACCCAATTTGTAGTAATTTGTTATAGCAACCCTAGAGAATAATGCACCTAGTAAATAACCAATGAAAGTTATTATTATTTTCTTAATGCATCTCCATGTTACTTTGGTAAAACTCTATCACAAGTAGCATGCAGAACAAAAAGCTTAAACATAAAGTGAAAGATATAACAGTTATGACATAATTCAAAGGCACACATGACTTACATCAGAAGACGACCATCCAGTTGGGTACAGCACAGTATAACCATCAGATGTCAAATTGGGGAATGAAATTGACAGCTTAAGTTCAGGCATTGGAAAATGTCCACTTTTTCTAATCTACAGGGACAAAATAGAAATGTAATCATTTATTTTTCTTTCAACAGCATACTTTCTGTCTTATGTAGGATTTTGATTTCTAATTGATGAGTTAAGTCGTATAACATTTTCAATCCCTAAATGAATGCAGGCAGCTTATAACTCTGAATAGAGAATTGGCATAATTAAGCCAGCAAGAACATATGGATATCTACTGGTCAGGGGTCATATTCAGCTACAATAACATTGTTCCTCCATCCCTCACTCCCCAGATAGTACTGGGATTGATAGAAAAGTCAGATTGAAAATGTTTCTGTTCCATACTCTAGCCACGTTCTTGTCCTTTTTAATATATCAGTCTTTTTGAAGCTGGAAAAGAGAAAGATCATTTACCTCAACCCCATGGAACAGTTTAGCATATTTTTTGGTTGCCTTAACCCTGTTTGCTACAATCTCCAAAATACATAAATCGTCTCTAACCCTGGCTAAATGGGATCTGTCGCTCTTATACAGGCAAACCGGACACCCACTTGGTTTCCTTCACAATTCCATCCCTCGCTGGGGCTATTGTGTTGCTGGCTGTTGATAATCTGGTCTGTGTAGAGTCAGATTGACTTTCATCTCAATCTCTATCTGTTTTTCTAACCCAGAAAGCTTATGCCACTATGGCGGCATAGTGGTGTGTGTATCTTAGAGGGAAGGATAGGCAGAATGAAGTTCAGCAGGAAGCCAAACTCACTATTTCGGAGGTCTTGCCTGCTTAGAGGGTACAAGTGAATTGGGGTAACCAGGCATAGTGGCTGTTTTTTCTACCACTCAAGCATGATCTCCAGGCTCTAAGCCTATGGTATCCCTGTGCAACATCTTAGCTGAGTAAGGATCTACAGAGAACTACATAGACACCAGAAAATCCACTGACTTGCCTAACTGAGCCTTCTAGACTGAGAGCTCTTCAGATCTTAAGTAAGTCCCTGTGGTTGTTAAAGATCCATATATTCCTTAACCCTGGAATTCTGGAGATTTCTGACCAGCTCTGCCTGGCTTCTTAAACATGTTCCTCAATTCTTTTTTTTTTTGAGTTGGAGTCTCACGCTGTCGCCCAGACTGCAGTGCAGTGACCGCTCCTGGCCACCGCAGCCTCTACCCGCTGGGCTCCGGCGATCCTTCCTCCTCAGCCTTCCGAGTAGCTGGAACTACAGGCGCGCGCTACCACGCCCGGCTGACTTTTTGATTTATTGTAGAGATGAGGTCTTGCCTGCCCAGGCGGGTCTCGAACCCACGGGCTCAGGCAATCCACTCACCTCAGCCTCCCATAGGCGCGGGATTACAGGCTGAGCTACCGAGCCTGGCTGTTCCTCAATTCTTATCTTCTCAGGGTAATATGTCCTAGGCTTGTCTGGCATGGTCTCCCAGTTTAATTCTGTTTCCTGATATTTAGTCAGCAATCACATGTTCTGTAATTATTATTTATTTTCTGATTCAAGTTACTGGGTCTCACTTAAAAAATGTTCTTTTTAAAAAAATTCCATTACCCCAATTCTAGAAATCACCCCAGCAAAATACTCAGAGATACATGCAAATATTTATTCTTGGTGATATTTTTAACATTGTTATTTATACTAACATTATTTATAATAGTTAGGGAGTACCTGTTTCAAATCTGAACCCTAATAAATTATAGTATGTAAAGATCAACAACATTTAAAGTCTTTTTGTCTTCTTTCTTTCACACTGTTTGTTGAATTCTTTTATCTGGGAAAAGTGAATCAGGCTTGAGAAACCAGATAGTCTGAATTCTAGAAATGTATCCCAGAATCTAGTAGAGTGAATGGCATTCATACTAATTTCCAAGGTAGAGCTTGTCATAGAAACTTCAGCAGACAGCACAAATAAAAACAATGAAATTCATCCTCAAAGTATACATTTATTTCCACTTTATAAGGCAACTTCCTTTTTCATTGTTAGCAGTTCCCAAAGAGATTGAGACTATCTTCACTTATAATTCACACATTTGAATATATATGAGGAGGGATCCCCTAAAAACCAGAATTATATTTTGAAAGGCAAGCTCTTTGTAGTAAACTTGGAATTAGTACCTCTGGATCAGACAGACAGCCAAAGGTTTTATCTGGAAGCATCCTGAGTTGTGGCACACAGGTGACTGGTTCTTTCACCATGACAATGCACCTGCCCACACTGAGTGTTCAGCAGTTTCTGACCAAAAACAGCATGACACCTGTTCCTCACCTTCCCTATTCACCGGATCTTGCCCCAAGTGACTTTTGTGTTGTTGCTGTTGTTTCCCTGGAGCAAAAAAGTCCTCAGAGAGAAATGTTTTGCTGATGTGGAGAGGTGAAACAAAAAACGGCAGAAGCACTAAAAGGCATCAGAATTGACGGGTTCAAAAACTGTTTTGAACAGTGGAAAAAACATCTTGATAGGACGGAGAGTACTTTGAAGGTGACTGAAGTTTAAAAATGTAAGAATAAATACATCTTTTTTGTAAATAATTTCCATTTTGGGGGTCCCCCTTCATATTTAAATCCACTTGAAGCAGGCTCTTTTTTTCCCTTGAGTATTATTAGCGTAAGTTGAGTCTGTATCTGTAAGCAGATATTACCTAAAGTGAAATTCCATGATTGTTTGCTATAGTGGTTAGAAAAAGTTTGTTATGAAAGATTCAAAAGAAAAAAATAAATAAAATGGAAAACATGACCTAAACAGGTGGTAATACCTACATGAGTAATTTACAGTATAAAGCATATGAAAGGTAGCAATGAATAGAATGAGAGACATATTTATTTGTTGAATAAAGAAAAATATTGCTAAGATGATTTTGAAATAATCAATTCCTGAAATAGTCATAATTATTGACAAAGTGTTTTTCTCAGTCATACTGAAAAAATAAGTAAATAGATCTAGTTTATAAGTAGAACCATCTGGTGCAATAGTTAATTTTTTTCCTACAAGTTCTTCTAATTAATTGTGTTTTATTAAAAGGAAATTAGAGACTTTAAAACTGGTTCAAAATATAATCATCACCAATTTAAATAAAACTATTTTAATATAATGAAACTATAAGGAAAAATAATGCTGGAATATAGAGAATAAATGTTGAAACAGAATGTTTCTATATGTCTGTTAATACTTTATAAATTCACAAATAATTCCTTTGGAATAATAATTTAGAGGTTACTTCTTACCAAGTAGAAGATATTAATTTCATCTCCAATGTCCTCAGTAGAATTTATAAACTCAGGGACTGTCTCATTGGCCGCAATTAAAATATGGTATTCACTTGCTGAGCTTAAAAGAGTTAATTGGAAGAAGAATAAAACAAAACAAAATTTAACTTTCATTTGACTTCATTCTTTTCTTTCTCCATACCACGTAATTCCACAAAAATACTTACAGAGATTTCAAATCAGAAAGGAATTCTTTTACCCTGAAACTTAAAATTAATCTCTGAGTGGGTGAAAAGGACAAATATGTGTAGTTTTAAAAATTAAATTTCCATTGTTAACAAGTGAGACGTTTCCAGGAATTCACTAATAGCATTTAGAGTTAATGAATAAGGAAGCTAAAACATAGTATTTTTAGCAGTACTAAATTTTAAAAAGATTTACATTTTTTTTCTTTTCCACAATTTAAAGTTCTACATTTATTGCTAAACTTAAAAGTTCATTCTTCTCCATGTTCTTAAATGAAATTGGTAGAGTAAAATGACACTTAAGCAGCACAGTCAGAGGAAGAGAAATAAAAATATTTATAAATGTTTGCCAAAATTTGATTTTAAGTAAATGGAAAATTCTTAGGAAAAGTCAGTGCACCAACAGAACAAGTGATTATCGCAAAAATAGAAAACAGTTCACAGAATTTAAAGACTGAGAAGTACAAGCAAAATCAACTTGTGTATCTCATAATTCTCTCATTTTTCTGGTATCAGTTAAGAGAAAGTGGTATAGAAAATAAGTCAATGAGCTAGAAGGATACTGAATGTTTTCAACACAAAGAAATGATAAATGTTTGAGATAGTACCCTGATCTAATCACTATACATTGTTATGTATTCTATAAATAAAAAAAAGGAGAAAGAGAAAAAAGAGCATGGGAAGTAATTAAAAAAAACACTTGCTGGATGTGTAACCTGCAGTAAATTACTTAATCTCTTGAAGTCTCAGTTTTCTCATCTAGAAAATGGGGATAGTAGTTGTACCTGAATCATAAGACTATTATGAGGATCAGAGAAGATATGACATTAGAACTCAGTAAATGTTAGCTGCTATTATTTTAAAAATTAGCAAGGTGATAAGACTTTTAGATTAAACTGAACGTGCCACTGATTCTTATACTTTTTGTATACATTGCACATGTTTATTTAGCAAAAGCTTGGAGTCTGCTTAAGCAGGAGAATTTATAGAGGGAAAGTTGGTTAACGTGGTTGGTGTTTGGATAGATAAATTCTTAAGAGAAAGAATGGTTTATAAATAGTGGAAGAAATAAACAGCTCATATCAGTGTGTCTAGATTGGGCAGGCTGATCAGCCACAGGATGAGAAGGAGGGCCAAGAAAAATGCTGATGACCTCTAAGAAAGCATTGTCTTTTGTGAAGGACTGCTGGGTCTTCAACTTGCATTTAGGAGTTAAAAGATTGGATGGCTAATAGTCTCCGGTATCTTTAGCACCTCATATTTTGGATTACTTAGTACAATGTTAGGATGCATGAGAATTACTTGGAAGGCTTGTTTAACATAGATTGTTGGGCATCATCCTGAGTTTCTAATTCAGCATGTCTTGGGCGGGGTGGGGTGGGAGAATTTGCCTAACAAGTTTCCAGGTGATGCAGATGCTCTTAGTACGTGACCAAACTTCGAGAACTATTGGGTTAATAAAAAGGTATCAACATAAAATGCTGTTTCCTCCTACCTGGAAAACTGCAGTCCCACTTCATATTTTACTGGGATAGAAATGTTTACGACATTATCAGAAAGGGCTTCAGGAGGTTCTTCACTGTCACTAGAAGATACACAGCATGTTCAGACAAATCATTAAACTATTGACAATCTAGAGGCGTATATAAGCATTTAAAAGAGAAGCTTATCTTGACGACTAAGTAAAAGCAAAAAAGAGTAGAATTTTTTATTTTTAAAACAATTGGAATCAGCGATGGGTATTATTAAAAGTTTCCAAGTAGATTCAGATGCGCACCTAGAGTTGAAAACCACACCGTTTTGTGTTTCCCAAAATTCTGTGACAGTAATAAGAATCACTGGAATTGTTAAAATACACAGGTTACTGAGCTTCTCTCCTAGAAATGTGAATTTGGGAGGTCCAAGCTAAAGCCCGGGAATTTGTGTTTTTAACACAAATCACCCCAGGTGATCCTTATTTACTTATCGCATTAGAGGATCTTGCAGAGAGGAGCAACTAGGGTCGCACAGCTGAGAGTAAATCTAAAATCTTCTGCTTTCTTCTTTAATAATTGTTCCATACTTAAGTAGTCGATACTTATATGATTTGTTAAGCATTTATTTCTTTCCTTAATTTTGATTATTGTTTTAATAATGTAAACACATGTATATATGTGTAAACACATACATGCATACACATATCTCATATTCCCTTTTATTAAAAAGGATGTATGAGTGACATAACAAATGATGAACACTGGCTCTGGGGCTAGAGAATGGGATTGTTCTTGTACACTGATACACTTGGGCAAAATATTTAATATCTCTGTGTCTTGGTTTCTTTATAAAATAGAGATTTAATCTTTAAATGATAAACAGATAAGGAGTAAATGAGTAATAAGTGTAAAGAGCTTAACAACTGTGCCTAGACTATAGGAAATAATAAGTGTTAGCTTTCATTACTATTATCACATCCTCCACTCTACCAGCTGACCAAGCACCTAGCATATTATCTCACAGAATGGGCAATGGGTACCTTTGAATAGCACTACTTTTCACCAAGTGTATAAAGTGTCTTGGTATGAGACTCCAGGCAGCAAAAGCAGCTTGCTGCCTTGGGTTATGGGCTTTTGTGTGACTGAGCTCTTAGTATAAATGGCCCCTTTCTATAATCTCTTCCACATGGCAGCCTTTCTCAATTAATATTCCTAAGAAGCAGCTCTATACATATGACTTTACCTCAAAAACTTTTCTGGCCTGTAGTTCTAGCTACTTAGGTGGCTGAGGCAGGAGGATCTCTTGAGGCTAGGAGTTTGAGGCTGCAGAGAGCTATAGTTGTACCACTGCACTCTAGCCTGGGAAACAGAGTGAGACCCTTTCTCTTTTAAAAAAAAAATACAAAAAAACTTTTCTGGCTCTTCATGGCTTGTTCAATTAAGATAAATGGCCATGTGCTGACATTTAGTACCTAACATAATACAGCAAGATGCACACTTCCTGTTTACTTCCCATTAATACTTAATGTATTCTCTGTATCTCAGCTAAAATTGATTATATTTTTTGACCAAGCTGTATATTTTGCCTAGAATGCTCCACTTAATCCTATTCACCAACCTCTCCATAAAATGCTATCCATTCTTCAAGATCTTTTTCAGTTATAATTTCCTTCATAAAGCTTTCTTGGGTCCTCGTTGCCAAGTATATATTATTTTAGCTTCCACGAAGTCTCTGACACATGTTTTATATTTCTATAATGGTTTATCCTTATTCTATCCTGTATTATAATAATTTTATACTAGTCCCAACCTTTTACTGTAATATTAACCCCCATGAGGAGGTTCATGCCCTTAGTAATTTTTATATTCCTTACAGCAACTAATTCAATATTTTGTACATAATAGATGTCAAAGAAATATTTGTTGAGTTGAATTAAATTGCACATACAGAATTAATTTATCCATTAACTCATTTTTAAAATTTACTCTACATCTATTTAATGATTATTAAATGCCAGGCACAATGCTAGTTACTGGAAACTAAAGCAGTAAAAGACAATTTAAATCTCACTGGAGATGGTTCAGTGGATAATCACATTTAGAAGAAAGTTAAACCATTGTTTCAATTTCTTTATTAGCCTTTTGTTTTAATCTGTGGATTCTATGATACCTTTCAGAAACTCTGACTGCTTTGATTAAAATGTATTAAAATACAAAAGGATATCAGAAAGTTTAAGTCCATCTCATAATTCAGTTGATCTTGATGGGCAGCCAGTAAAAGTTTTTAAATTAGTGGCACCTGTAAAATTTTCATGAATATAAATGTAATTTTACAAATATAAGTGATGTGTGATTATATGTTCTATAGCTCGTAGAACCAATAATGTAATCTAGTTAGGTGAATTTCTATTAAATAAAAATTTACCTTTTTTGCTAATTACTCATAAGGATGTTTTTGTGAAGCAAAATTGTTCATTGCCTTCTACCTCTACTGATCTCACACAAGCTGTAAGAAACTGCCAGTGAGTTTATAAGGCAAAATATTCAAAATACACAAAATAAATTATATACATGCACATATACTCACACACACATATAAACCAACCTTGTTGCACTTAAATGAATGGTCACATTTTCCATGAGATAAGATATGTTAAATTGAAATAATATTTTGAAAGTTACCTATGAAATAAAAATTAGACATTTTTAGTTTAATAACAGATTAAAAAGTTTACATTGATTAAAATATTCAATTTACATAAATAATATTCCCTAAACTCAAATTATGAAGTTATTTAAGATTATCTTATAAAATAAAGTCTCATTACATATCAGAAATAGATAGATTAAAATATAGTATACATGTACTTTTAATTGTGAATATATAACACACTTTGCATATTGCTGTGCTCTGAATATTTGTGTCTCCTCAAAACTCATGTGTTGAACCCTAATCACCAATGTGATGCTATTAGGTGGCGAGGATCTTTGGGCAAGTGATTAGATCATAAGGGCAGAGCCCTCAGTAATGGGATTGGTGCCCCCATAAAAGAGACCTCAGAAAGCGGTCTTTCCTGTTTTGCCACCTGAAAATGCAGTGAGAAGACACTTTCCATACAGCAAAATGTGCTCTTACTAGACACTGGATATATTGAGGCTTTGATGTTGGGCTTTCCAGCCTCCAGAACAGTAAGAAATACATTTTTGATTTGTAAGCTGTTCGGTTTATGGTATTTTGTTATAGCAGTCGGAATGGGATGCATGTTAAATGAGGTTTATAGAAGCTCATCGGTTTGGACTGAGCTCCTGCACTATACCCAACAGACCAAACCAAAATGGAGTCACTCATGCTAAGGTACCATGTTACTAAACAAGTACTAAGTTGTTTATCTGACCCTGTGAGAAATCAGGAGAGTGAGAGGTAATAACCAAATCCCTAAACAGGCCAGTTTTAACCAGCAGGATAAAGAAGTTTCCTCTGCTTTAACCTTTACAAGGAAAATACCATTGAAATGACAAATCCACTTTTTGTTCTCTGTTCCCACTTTCCTCAGCCCATTTCTGTCTATAAGACCAACTTCCTCTGCTCAGCTCATCAGAACATTCATTCTATTTCATAGAATGAGGTGTTGCCTGATTTTAGAATTAAAAATAAAAGCCAATTAGAATAAGCTAGATGTGTTGTAATTTTTCCTTTTGACAGATATTAATGTTAAATTTAAACACTTTTTATTCAAATTATATTAATACAAATTATTTATGCTAACCATAAACCACTACCATGAAGGTATATTGTGTTTATATACATCCCAGACATCCATATTATATTATCATGGCTTTCCAGGTCACAGTCATTAACTATAGAATTGTGAAATGGTCATAATTAAAGGCTTTTTAATATGGAAACCTCAAGTGTCAGCAACCATCTACTCATATTCATTATAAAGTAAAGGAAAATATACTTGGTTTCATTAGTTTGACAGTGTAATAAAAGTTTTTGGGCCTTTAAGGCATAAGAAGAAGAAAATAAGTGAAAATAATAGGCTTGGCTATTTGGAAAAAAGTAAATTACAATAAAAACAATGCAGAAAGTTTTGTATATAAAAGTCTGTGTAGTTAAAATAATACTTAAGAAAAACTAGAAATTACTTTGGACTTAACATTTCTTGATTTCAAAAATTACTATACTAATCAATACAGTGTAGTACTGGCATAAATATAGACATATAGATAAATGCAATGAATTGAAAGCACAAAAATAAACCCAGGTGTTTATGGTCAACTGATTTCAATATAAGTTTCAAGACAATTCAATGAGGGAATGTGTGGTCTCTTCTCAAATGATATGAGACAACTGCATGTCCACATGCAAAGAATGAAGTCGTAGTCTTCCCTTTCACCACACACAAAAGTTAATCAAAATGAGCATAGACCTAATTGTAAGAACTAAAAATAACACTCTTGGAAGAAAATACATAAGCAAATCTGCTTAACTTTGGATTAGGCAAAGCCTTCTTAGATTTGACACTAAAAGCACAAGTGACAAAAGTTTAAATAGATAATAGCACTGCATCAAAACTGACACTTGGATATAGGTAAATGACTTTTGAAAAATGATGCCTGAATATATGAACTACATAATCTATGACTCTTTATGAACATCAAGAGGCAGGCCCCAAAATAAATTATTTGTTTCAAGACATGTATTAACTCACAATATTCTAGTATAAGAGGCTTCATAATAATGTTTATGAAATGATGTTTCTCATTCTCAAAGCTAATCTTGTTCTGAGCTAAGGCATTTTGGAATTTGTGCCAGAAAAATAGATAGTATAAAATGTACAACTAATAGAAACTATTTAAAATTTTACTTTTATGATTAAGTGTTACACAGAGGAAGGTTTGGCATTTAAAGCTCTTTTAATCAATGTAAATGCCATTCACAGATAGGATGAGTAGAATTCAAAGATCATGAGATTTGTATGATTGTACAAATATTATATATGGAGTTTTCTTTCATATTTTTTCCTCCTACCTATATTTTTATGTACATTAGCAAAGGCAAAAAATAGTTCTTCTAAAATCTACAGTCTCTGCAGTTCTCTTCTATCTTTGAAACAATAATCACAATTCCAGGCTTAGAATTCCAAGCTTGACCGGGTGGTCTTGAACTACAATAAACAATATGTCCAATTGCCTGAGTCACTCAGTGAACTCTCTCCTTCCTACCTTTGCTTGGCCTCCCCGACTTACCTGGCATTGTAAATCTTGGCATTCTTGGTAAGTCTTTACACCTAAGGGGAGATACTAGCAGAGCAGGAGAACCAAGAAGTTCCCTGCTGCATGTTGATGTGATACTTAATCTGCAAATCTAGATCTAGAAACCAAAGCATTTTCTATACATAAAGCCTATGTTGACAGTACTTGCAAATTGTCTTCCCAACTCCCTATGGATGACACGAGACACTTTGATTTAAGTTTTTACCCTAAACAATAAGGAAATGCTAAAGAGAGAAAGAAATTATTAAGAAAATGTTAAAAAGACAGTGAATGTTTCCAATGGCTGGAACATAACACTGAATATGTCATTATTCTTTATGAAATGGAGATAATTTCATTATTATTCTATATATAAAAATGGTCAAAGTAAGGAGCAGAAACAAGTTGAGATTTCTTATTTCCCTGCCAAATTAGAAGAATAATGGGTGTATTTTTGCAACTTTTGAATGTGTGATTTATAGATTTGTGGGGGATGGCATGCAATTTCAGAATAAATTTCATTTGAGATGTCAAGAAATAGATTTTCAGATGAGGTCCAGAAATAAATTGGTTGTTTCCATAAAGTAAGATGGACATAGGAAATTTTCAGATGAGGTCCAAAAATAAACATCTAGTTGTTTCCATAAAGAAAGATGGACATAGGAGAGATCTACTGACTTTAGTGATTATTGTGATCTGCACTTAGTTATTTGGATCACTAGTAAACATAACACATGAGGTAAGAGGAAAGCCCTGTGTTGAATTCTCACTTTCAAAAAGAAGAGCTGAAAGATTTTGTTATAGATATATGACTCTTCCATTTCCAGATGTCCAGCCCAGAGTTTATGAATGTTTTAGGATGAGTATTAAAGATGACAGGGGTCTATTTTGAAGCCTTATATTACAAAACATTATACAGTGAGAAAATTCCTGCAAGGCATCAAATGAGAAGACAAAGTCCCAGGCACATAGTAATTCACATACACAAAATCGGTATAAAAGAAAAAAAAAAATCCTAAAAGCAGTGCGAGAGAAAGATCAGACTACCTACCAGGGAAGACTAATTAGAATAACAGCAGACTTATCTACAGAAGTACTACAAGCTAGAAGAGTTTGTACTCTAATCATCAAAGTTCTCAAAGATAAACAATTCCAACCAAGAAGCCAGCTAAGCTAAGCTTCATCAGTGATAGAGAATTAAAATCCTTCCCAAACATCCAATCCCTAAGAGATTATGCTGCTTTCAGACCACCTATACAAGAGATGCTTAAAAAGGTATTAAGCACAGAAGAAAGGAGGGGGGAAAAAAGGATAACCATGCACTTCCTAGGAGAACAGGAAAACACAGCATTAACAGAGAATACATAGCAATTGCAATTTGAAAACACATGCATATATCAACTCCAAAGTTAAAAGAAAAACAAACAAGCAAAAAAATACTTTATAAGCACCTCATGACAGGGATAAAGTCTCACATTTCAAGTCAGCCTGAACGTGAATGGACTAAATGCACCACTGAAAAGACACAGAATGGCAAACTATATAAAAAAGCGTGATCCAACTAAATACTGTCTCCAGGAAACACATCCCACTACAAAGAACACCCACAGATTCAAAGTTAAAGGATGGAAAACAACTTTCAGGTGAACAGAAAACAAAAGAAGGCAGCAGTAGCAATTTTAGTACCAGACAAAATAACCTTCAAGCTATCACAAATTTAAAAAGATATGCAAGGACACTATATAATGATAAAATGTTCAATCCATTAACAAGAAATATCTATTCTGAATATATATGCACCCAACACAAGAGCAACAATATTTATAAAGCAACTACTAAGTAAACTAAAAAAGGATATTGACTCTAACACTATCATAACTGGGGGCAAAACATTATAAATTGAGAAAGTTTAGATAAATATGGGGGCTGTATTTTTGTCTTTTAAAAAAGTCAAGCAAGTAAAATATCTTCTTATTTTTATCACTTTGATTAATTAAATATTTCCCTCCTTAACTTAATAGTGAATAGAGGAGCAAATATTCACGCTGAAAAGTAACTTTCAATGAAAATATGTGCAAATACCTTGTTTATAATTAAGTGAGGTAATTATTCTCTGCTTTTTATGGAAACAAATATTGTCTTTAAAAGTAGATAGAGATTCACCTCACCTCCATCCGATTAGTTCTAGAGTTTTCTAGTTGGGGCAATTAGATAAAAGAAAGAAATAAAGGGTATTCAAAAGGAAAAGATGCCTCTATTTGCAGATTATACAATCTCACATGTAAAATGTCCCAAGGAATCCACTAAATAAGGAGCAGAACTAAAAAATAATTTCAGCAAACTTCAGGGGAAAATATCAATATTCAAAAATCAATTGTATTTCTACGTATTAGCATCAAACAATCTGAAAATGAATTTAAAAACTGAATTCCATTTGAAATAGCATCTAAATGAATAAAATAGTTAAGAATAAATTTAACAAAGGAAATGCAAAACTTATATTCTAAAAACTACAAAACATTGTTGAAAGTAATTAAGGAATAACTAAATAAATGAAAAGACATCCCATGGTTATGAATCAGAAAACTTTTAGATTTTTCAGGATAGCTCCCCAAATTGATTTACATATTCAATACAATGCCAGTTGAACTCCAAGATGGCTTTTACATAGAAATTGCCAAGTTGATCCTAAAATACTCATATGGAAATGCAAATGCCTAGAATAGCCAAACAGTTTTGAAAAACTGTTGGAGGACTTACATTTCTTGACTTCAAAAAATAAGCAAAACAGTGTATTACTGTCATAAACATAGACATACAGATAAGTGTGATACATTGAAAGCACAGAAATAAACCCAGGTGTTTATGGTCAGCTGATTTCAATATGCATTCCAAGACAATTCAGTGAGGAAATGTATAGTCTTTTCTCAAACAGTATGGGTCAATGCATGCCCATATACAAAGAATGAAGTTGGATCTTCCCTTACACTACACACAATGGATCATCAAAATGGATCATAGACCTAAATGTAAAAACTGAAACATAAACTCTTGGAAGAAAACATAGAAGTAAATCTGGATAAATTTGAATTAAGTAAAGCCATCTTAGGTATGACAGTAAAAGCACAAGTGACAAAAGATTAAATAGACAAATTGCACTGCATCAAAACTAGAAAAAAAACGGTTGTTATTTAAAGAAGAACATGAAGAAAGTGAAAAGATAACTAACAGAATGAGAGAAAATAATTGCATATTTTATATTTGATAAGAGACTTGGATGTAGCATATGTAAAGAATTCTTACAACTCAATAATAAAAAAAGCAACCCAACTGAAAAAAAATTGGTAAAATATTTTAAAAGACATTTCTCCAAAAGAGACATACATGTGGTCAATAAGCATGTGAAAAGATGCTGAAAACATCATTAGCCATTAGGGAAATGCAAATCAAAATTACAGTGAGAGCCGGGCTCAGTGGCTCAGCCTGTAATCCTGCGCCTTTGAGAGGCTGAGGTGAGTGGATTGCCTGAGCCCGCGGGTTTGAAATCCCCCTGGGCAGGTGAGACCTCATCTCTACAATAAGTCAAAAAATTAACTGGGTATGGTAGTGCGCGCCTGTAGTTCCAGCTACTTGGAAGGCTGAGGCAGAAGGATCGCCGGAGCCCAGTAGGTCGAGGCTGCGGTGGCCCGGAGTGGCCACTGCACTCCAGTCTGGGTGACAGAGTGAGACTCCAACTCAAAAAAAAGAAAAAAATTACAGTGAGATACCACTTCATACTTACTAGGATGGCTATAATAAAAAAGACATAATAACAATGTGGAGAAGTTAGAACTCTTTTTCATCACTAGTAGAAATGTAAAATCGTCAGTCCTTTGGAAAACAGTACTGTGGTTCCCCAAAATGTTATACATAGTTAACCATATAACCCAGGCTTATACCCAAGAGAACTGAAATTATATGTCTATACAAAACTGTACACAAATATCCATAATAGCATTTTTATAGTGTCAAAATGTGACAACAACCCAAGTACCTATCTACTGATAAATGGATAAATAAAATGTGATATATTCATATAATGGAATTTTATTTGGTAGTAAAAAGGAATGAACTACTGATACATGCTACAACATGGATAAACCCAGAAAAACTTATGCTAATCACAAAAGAAGCCAATCACAAAAGACCGTACAGTTGACCCTCTGAATCCACAGGTTTTGGATTCAACCAACTGTAGATCAAAACAAACAAACAAACAAGCAAATAAATAAATAAACTAAAAATAACACAAAGAACAATACAGTATAACAACTATTTACATATCATTTATGTTGTATTAGTTTGTATGAGTAATCAAAAATGATTTAAAGTATACAGGAGGATGTGTGTAAATTATATGCCATTTTATAAAAGAGACTTGAACATCTGAGAATTTTGGCAGCCACGGGGTTTCTGGAACCAATCCCTCTTAGACACTAAGAAACAACTGTATTGATAGATTCCATTTATATGAAGTATCCGGAGCAGGCAAATTCACAGAAAAAGAAAATAGTTTAGTAGTTGCATGGGGTTGAAAGAAGGGCAGTTGAGGAAAAACAGAGTGACTGCTAATGCATATGGGGTTTCTTTTTGATGTATGAAAAAAAAGTTCTAAAATCAATTGTGGTGACAGTTCCACAATTCACAATTTAGCAAATATACTAAAACTCATCGAATTTTATATTTTAAATGAGTGAATTGTGTGCCATGGGAATTATATCTTAATGAATCAGTTATCCAAACAACAACAAAAAAGAAAGTGAGAAAGAGAGGAAAAGAGAATTTCTATATTAAGTTCTAAACCAACCTCTGAAACATTATTTGTCCTGCAGGCCAGAAATGCCTTCTGCATATGAAACTTCAATTAACAGAATTTCCCAACTCCCTTTTAGCAAATGTGTTATCTAGTACAAATTTTAAATTTTGTCTTGATGTTTGAGTTTGTATAATAATTGCGTTTGCTTCTGATTCTGTCTTAGTTTGTTTAGGCTGCTATAACAACATACCTTGGACTGGGTAATTTCTAAATAACAGAAACATATTGCTTACATTTCTGGAGGCTGAGAAGTCCAGGATCAAGGTACCAACAGATTTGGTATCTGGTAAGGTTCTGTTCCTCATAAAGGGCACCTGCTATGTGTCCTCATGTAGTGGAAATGGCAAGTAGGCTCCCTCAAGCCTCTCTTATGTCACTAACCCCTCCATGAGGTATGCCCTCATGACCTAATGACCTCCCAAAGACCCCACTTCTTACTACAATTACATAGGGGATTAAGTTTTAGCATTTGCATCTTTGGGGACCCAAACACTTAGACCTCAGCAGATTCCCAACTCAACTTTTTTATCTGCATCATCTTAAACTACTATTAGAAGGACCTATGTATTTAGTTTGAGCATATTACTTTTCATATGCAGCCGCCACATGTATTTTGTATAATTTGCTCACCATTTCTCCTCTTCTCAGGAAAGGATATCCAACTTTACACGTGATATTATGATTAGATTCACAACTGTCTTTTTGGATAGCCTAGGAAGAGAAAGTAAACAGAATTAGAGCTGATAAGCAGGTGAAATACCAGAACTTATTTTTTTAGAATTTTCCCAGCTGTGCCTGGAAACCACCTTGCCAAGATTTTTCTCTTGATTTAGCTGGGAGAGACACAGTACTCCAGAGGCAACTGTTTGATGGTCCACGGAAATTTAATAACATTACCTGACAGTGCCTGAGAGACAAAGCACCTCTCACTATCCTACCTAAATGCTCAATTGTAAAATGGGAATACTGATAGCACTTTCCTCACAGGGTAATTGTGGGGCTGGACAAAATAATCTACACCTCCCAGATTCGTACACAGAAATCTACAGTGAATGTTAGTCATTAGAAGAGTTTAGAGAAGTGGATTAGTGTGAAGACTTTGACCTGTGACCGTCAGGATTTAAATCCTGACTCCTTTGCTGTTAGCTTTATCCTTGTCAAGATTTCTCATCTCTCTGGGCCTAATTTTTTATCGTCTGATTTTCTATCATCTAGGTTAGTTACACTTTTTTTTCATCAAACTTCAAATGCCATTGAACATGAGATACACCAACCATTATTTTAACAATAAGAAGGAAAAATAATGCTCCCATGTAAATAGACATGTTATTAATTTTAAAATGCAACTACAGAACTGTTAAAATGTGGAAACAAATGTTTAATCTTTGAATCTCTGCAGTACAGTAATAACTACTTACAACAGAATTAATGAGAGTTAAATAAGTAAAATCCTTGGAATAGTTCCTAATACATAATATGACTCAAGAAAGGGTTACCATCATCATTATTATTGCTACTTTTCAGGTAGAGGTACTGTTCGTTTTATAGCTCTGCCATTCTGCCAAGGCCATCCTGAAGAGGATACAGGCAATTATTATTGTTATTATTATTATTATTTGAGTTGGAGTCTCACTCTGTCACCCAGACTGGAGTGCAGTAGCCGCTCCCGGCCACCGCAGCCTCAATGTGCTGGGCTCCGGCGATCCTTCCGCTTCAGCCTTCTGAGTAGCCAGAATTACAGGTGCGCGCTACCACGCCCAGCTGATTTTTGCTTTATTGTAGAGATGAGGTCTTGCCAAGTTGCCCAGGCGGGTCTTGAGCCTGTGGGCTCAGGCAATCCATTCACCTCAGCCTCCCAAGGCACGGGATGACTGGCTGACAGGCAATTATTTTTAATGTATCACTTTCTCCAGAAAAAAATTTAGTGGTAACATTTTCCCAACATCACTTTACACATTTACATTGATAATTACTATTCTTAACTGAATTCAAAATATGTTAAAGTAACATATGGCATTATTTTCAAGCCCTTCTTAGTTACCATGTCTCAAAGTGATAGCCTAACAAATGGAAAAAAAAAATCAGTGAAAATCTGAGTTTTTGGAAACTAGACAATAGTGTTTTAATACTATGCATAGCAAGGGCATTGCTTTTAATGTGATTTTTTACATATTGTTAATTCATATAAATATTCATAGACTTTTAACTCTGGGGGATTCATTTGGAAATCAGAATTAAAAGCGAAGTTCAAACTTGGAAACACGAATTACTTCTGACCTAGAATCTTACACAAATATATGTCATTGCCAAAATAACTTTAAAAATCGGTTATGCAGATATGTTATGGCTAAAGTAATAAAAAAACTTCTGTTATGAATCAGTAAGACATAGTCATTTAAGACAAATCTCTTGCCAAAGTAAGGATTTTGCATAGAAAGGGGGAAACCATATTTTGACATTCCTGTGTGTAATTTTTGTTGTTGTTCAGCACAGAACTCCCTCTCTACACCTTTGTTCAACTGGTTTGGCTTTGATTGCTATGTTTATTGTTTTCCTTGACTCAGACTTCATTTCAGTGGTTTAAAGATTCTGTGAAACACACTTTGTAGACATTAGCTATGCTTTCCTCATACTGAATCTAAGGAGAAATTAATATCTTCAAATAAATTAAACAAAATTTTAAAAAATGCTTGGTAGCCTCACCATTAGTGAGTACTAAATTAAAGACGTGGGGTCCAATTAAGGATTAGGTATACAAGTGGTCATCATACAGGTAAATTTGGGACTCTCTTTGGTCCCCACTACACCTGGTTTGAGATCAGGTACCCTTATTGATGTTATGTGTTCTCCCTCCCCTGGCAGTACTAATTTTGTATAAAATGCTTTCTATTCTTCTAAAATCAATATAATAAAATCAATTTAGCTCAGTAATATGAAAAGTAGGTTCAATAAAGTGATTCTCATGAGAATAAATAAATAAATAATAAATAAATAAGGTTTACCTCAATTCCTGAGAAAATAAGATTTGGAGAATACTGAACTATTGTCCTGGTGTTATACGCACTGTCCTTTTTATTTTTGACTGTGAGGCTAACATTGAATTTATCATTCTGGGACCTGACAATAAGCAGGCCCTTTTCTGTGGTGGCCACATCCAGGGTGAGGTCAGAAATACATTTTTCCTTGTTTCCACAATCTTTGGCAAAGGGAATCTGAAATGGTGACAGGAAAGTATTTTTAAAATTTTGGTTAAGCATTATTGAAAACTACCTACCAATTTGGGTAACAGAAATAATATTGCCAAAATAAGTTAAGCGACTAACAAAAAGAATCAATTTCACTGCAAAAAATCTTAAGGACTTTTATATTTATTCCTGTAACTTAAATAGAAAGGTAATACACTTTTACGTATAGATAGACGTTCCCCTGGTCCTTTTAAGGACAGTTTCTTTTGGATATTTAACACTGGCTACAATATGCCAGGGAGGAACAGTTTCAGGAAATTAATTCAAATACTCAAAGATCTAAATCTATTCAACTTTAGTTATGAGTTTTTTTCCTATTAAAAAGAATCACACAGCCGGGCTCAGTGGTTCAACCTGTAATCCCGTGCTTTTGGGAGGCTGAGGTGAGTGAATTGCCCGAGCCTGAGGGTTCGAGACCCCCCTGGGCAACTTGGCGAGACTTCATCTCTACAATAAAAATAAAAAATCAGCCGGGCGTGGTAGCGCGCGCCTGTGATTCCGGCTACTCAGAAGGTTGAGGCGGAAGGATCGCCGGTGCCCAGAAGGTTGAGGCAGCAGTGGCCGGGGGCGGCCACTG